GTGTCATCTCTGTGAGAGACTTATATTTCCTCTAATTATAAGTCCTTGAGAGGTTATTGTACATGTGCTTTATAATACGTTGTGTATGTATATTATACTTTTATTTCGACCACTCTTTAAAAAAAATTACAACCTACGGAACTGAACTAAACTATTCCATATATCTACTACATTCTAAAAAAAGTCGTAGATTAATAAACAACAATAAAAGAGGTTTTTGGACTAAAAAAACCCGAAAGAGTTTTTTAACAGGTTTTTAGGCCAAAAAACTAAAAAGCGTTCATGGTCGTTTCAAAATGAAAAACTCTTCCAAAAATCGTGAGTAAAGAAAGTAACTGAATAACTGAAGATCAGCTGAGGTCATAAAAAGTTATGGAATGAAATAAGTAAGAATTAAGTTTTTGTACCAATGTGTTTTCTGACCTAACCAGGTCTTTATCTTTCCCTATACTTTCATCCAAAATCTCGTTTAGAAAAATTATTGTGTAGTTACTTAACAAACAAATAATTACGGTATGTGTAAGATAAATTTTTACCAAAATTCATTGAGAAAAATTAAACAATAGCGTAAAATCAAGTAAGGAAGGCAGAACAAGATGCCTTTAGCTACATTATAAAAGTTAAACTTCCGTACTGTAAAATTTTTTGAGCAAAAAAATCTTTTTGTTCGGTAGTCGACGCCAAAAAAGAGAACTATGCGAGTAACAGGACCAAAATTGAAAAAAATATCTACGAGCATTTTTAAACAATAACAAGAGATAGACTGTATGGTTTTTACATTTATATAGTAAAACACCGATAGAAAATGGATAGAATAGACAAAAAGTCACTTTGAATGCATGCTTTTTTCATTTGATTCTCTTACCTGTTGGAGAACGACCATAGTACATTCAAAATAATGTTATCTATTATCATATTCTCCACTTTTCCTCTATTTTATATCTGTTCTACCTACAATAATTGCCGACTGTTCTATTAAATAAAGACAAAAGAACCAGTGACATGTTAGTTTATTTGACGTTACTGCTGGTTTACTTTCTAACAACTGATTTGGTCATGTCGATTCCGGCGACTGTCCCAATAAATGGCATAATTGAAGGATTCTATTGGAGTGCTCCGAACCAAGTCAAAGGCCAGTTTAAATTCTTTTCTAAGACACAACGTGACCAATTGATTTCTTCGATGAGCGAAGGTTTGAATTATTATTTTTATGCTCCTCAAGACACTGAAGATCACCCATTCACAATGAAATTATGGGATTCGCAGCAAGCAGCCGACTGGTCTGACACTGTTTCTAAAGCCTCAAATGTTTCAATTGTCATGGGTTTACGGCCAAGATGGATCGATAGTGTTCAAACTTCATTGCAAGCAGTAAAACTAAAGCTGACTCAATTTGCTTTGGTTGGCATTCACTACTACATTTTATGTTGGGATGATACAGAAGGTGCTGGTACGACTGCGCAGATGAAATTACAGAGAGATTTAATTAAAGCTCTCGTTCTTGACGTGACAAACATCGAACTGATCGGTATTATTCCTGCTTACTATTCTCGATCTCAAATTTCTGGCACTACAAATGCCGCTTGGGGCCAGCAAATTTCCATTCTGAATCAAATTCCCAGTAGCATCCGATTTTTTGTCACTGGATTAACAGTTGTTCCATCATCTATTCAAACATCCGATATTCCAACTTTAACGAATCGTCAGTTTATCTTCTTTGACAATTGGATAGCTGTTGATTCAAGCACGAAAGTGACAATGAGTTGGCCACCCAACCGTCATTCTGATATATATAATGCAAGTGCATCGATTTCCGGTTCTGTATTAAATTTAGCATTTCCGCCGGAGCGAATTATTCACCAAATTTATGCCACAATACAAAGAATTAATAACAAATATTCTTATATCAATTCACGTTCAGCAGCTGTGTATTGGTCACAATATCTGTTAGCAAATCACTTTTACCGATCCAATTCCTCGGAACAGTTAGAAACAAATTTACAATTAGCAATTGATAACCTCTACGAAACAACTCAAGCTATTATTCAACGGTACCCACTTCTTAGTGCCATCTTCACAAATTAGTTACACAAATGACTTCGTAATCTATTACCAACCAATATTTCATAAAATAAAATACACAGTTCTCAAAAACAAAATGTCAGGAGGCAATAGACACGTGGCATGAGAAAACTGAATGGTAGTTAGTATCTTCATTGGTCATTTCTCAAAATGGCCTTTCGAACTGTGTGAAATCGGTCTGTGTCATAAACGATCGATGAATTTGTCCTTCCAGAAGAATGACGATTTTCGCAGTATGAAACCTTGCTGAGTGAATGAATTTTTTCTTCCACGAAGCGATAGATATGAACGACGCTGATAGAGCGATTAGCTGAGATGCTATTGAGTGTTTCGGATCTTAGACTACCCAGTTACATGTTCTAGTGATCATCTGAGAAAGAATTTTGTAGCCCATGAAATTCTCTATCGAACAGTGTATAATAATTTTATATTTGCTCTAGGTAAAAAAGATGGAATGATGAAAATACTTTGAGTACAGGTCATTTAACGAGGGAAGAGTTTATTTTGCTAAAATGTTTCCAGAGGCGCTGAAAAGGATTTTTAAGGTCTAAAAATATACTAGTATTAAGCGGAGACAAAAACTGCATCGGATCAGTTAACATAAGACTGATTTGAGAGGGGACCAATTTTGGCTCTTATCGTCCCCGTCCGTTTTAAAAAGATAAAGCACACTTCTTTGAATCTGCTCCCTTGTTATTCAGTAGTATGTCCTTGCTGTTTTCATTACTCGTATCTCTCTTTTTTTCTACCGCATGCATGTACAGAGGACGGAGTATTGCAATAGATAACAGTGATAGAAGAGTCTCGATTTTGTGTGAGAAAACGAGCGTCATGTTCGGCGTATGTCAACATTGTTTTAACGTGGCAGAAGAACGCATTGAATGAGCAAGCAAGTGAGTGAATATCATTTTCGCATTTACATGCCGTAGTCGTAATTCACTGAGAGTCCTTTTGGAATAACGGACATTAAAGGGTGAGTCAAAATTACTGAAATTTTTCCATATTCTCAGATTTATCAATTCGTTTCAGTAATTTTGGTCCACCCTTTATATATAGCGGCTGAAATTAGTATTCGGACAGTGCAGCAAGTTTTTCGTGGGCTCAATATCTCTTGGAATAAAAGATATGATAAAATGATTTTTTCGTTTTACATTTTTTGTAAGCTATCAGTAATTCAAAGTATCAACACTTTTTATTTTTGGCTTAAAGACACATCATTTGATCCAGTTTTATATGGTGATCATGAATCTGATCTTATTTTTTCGATTTGAGCACGTTTTCCCGGTGAAAAATGCAAAATACTGCGAACTTCTCAAAAATGCCAAAAACTGACTTTTGAGAAAATCGCTATTATCCTCTCATAATTTTACTTTCCGATCTCACTAATGTAATTTTCGGATTCTTTGACTCAAACTGAGTATAGACATGTGGTCTAGAGCTTGATCGTGCGCATCGTATAGGCTGTGGAAATTTAAAAATCTATGGTCCTAATTTGGTTGGTGAGACCTAATTTTGCAAGTCTATCTAGATTTTTCTCTAAAAGATAACTACTATCCATTTCAAAATAGAAGATGAGTGAACAAAACGCTGATAACTCCGGAACGAAAAGATCTAGAGACCTGCGGTTTTCAGTTTCTGAAACT